TATTGCATGTGGCCACATTAATTTAGAGATGAGGATAGATGTGTGTGTGTGTGTGTGTGTGTGTGTGTGAGAGAGAGAGAGAGAGAGAGAGAGAGAGAGAGAGAGAGAGAGAGAGAGAGAGAGAGAGAGAGTTTCTGTTGCAGGACCATGGAAGTTGACTCTTCATGAATGTGGAGGTCAAGAGCTGTAGGAAAAGCCTTGTCCAACTTTTCAACTGATGTGTGTGTGTGTGTGTGTGTGTGTGTGTGTGTGTGTGCGCGCGCGCGCGCGCGCGCGCTCGCGCGCCCGCGCGCATGCGCTACAGTTTCTCTGACCAGCATCATCTCCCCTCTGGAAATCAGATCCTGAATCTCCTGAAGCGATGGCTTGTATTTTGTATGCATTTTGGGAAATGACTCCAGAGAACAGGAGGGGAGCAGGAAAGAGTGAATGAGGAAAAGAAAGGACTGCACAGGTTTAAGTTCTTGAGCGGGTGACTGCTGGGAGGAACTGGGGTTCAATATCTCTGGACCTCTTTGGAGAGCCACGAGGAATGTACCTCGGGCTTGTCTGGGCACGGATAGAGGAAGGTGGCCTGTCCATCAACTCCATCACTGCCTGGCAGGATCCTGCAGCATCCCTCCCACAGTGACACTTATGATGCCACCGAAATGTGCGGCACTGATCGCTTCAGTAGAAGATGAGCTGTAAGCTGAAATGCAGGGGCCAGCCATATCAGACTCTGAGTCACAGCCAGGGACTGCCTGCATTCTGAAGCCAGGCCTTCACAATCACAGACCGCATCAATTTAGGATCTCCGAACAGGAGATTTCACGTAAATGCAATCATGGAAGACGTGGCCTTTGTAGCTTCTTTTCTTTTGCTTACTATCACATTTTCAAGGTTGGAAAACACGTAAATTGGAAAGGAATGTCATTGCTGCGGTTCCTTGGCCCTGTTTGCAGTTGGAAGGTGAATCACCCTGGGAGAATGTCACTGCTTGCAGAACAGCGCCCTCTGGTGGACTCTAGGTGAAGTCATCGACTCAACTGTTCATTTTGCCAGTCCACTCAGGAGGAAATAAATGATAGTGGTACAAGTCCTTTTTAAAAGTCAAGCGATTTTTTTTTTAAAACAACATTGAGTTTGACCATACTGCTAAAGATTTACAAAATCACATTACTACTAGGAAAAACAAACTTGTCAAGTTGATGTTAACAATTGCTGGCCATCCTGTTCTATATTACAAGGAGTCTGTGAGGTTGAGATAAGTTTATGGGGCCATTTCCTCTGCTCATAATTAGTCCTGCAGGATCCCATACCCTTAATAGTTAGCCCCAATGAAATAGCAAGTGCATGTGGAGAAATCCATACTTGAAGTTATGTTAAATGCCTATAAATTAGACCTAAACACGGTGGTGCTATTAATGTGGCCATTAGCAGCAATCAAGTGTTTAAACCCTGAAAATTTCCCTATCAAAATTCAAGTCTATGGCTAATGAGATAATAAGGAGGAAATATATTCTTATCTTAATAAGGCTCCATTCCACCTTGTCCTCCCCAAATGAGACATACTGCATAGATGTTTGGCCAAGTATTGGCCTCCATTATTTGGTAGTAACAAAATACTCTGGCACTTTCCAAGGCACATTTTCTTCTCCTAATGTCAAATAGACTTAATTCAGCAAAAGAGAGATTTGGTTGGGAAGGTGGAAATCTAACCTTCACGAATGGAACAAGACTCGCCATTGTGTTTGCTCCCATGGCTCCCTGAATCCCTTTTGAACAAGTCCATTAGTGATAACTTAATTATTCACTGCCTCTGGGGTCTTCCTTTATAACAGTGTGCTGATAAAGTTGAATGTTTTATATAAATTTTGATTCTAGAGCTTAAGAGAGTTACAAGCACATTTCAGATGCTCAGTAAATACTATAGATTGGTTGTTAAAATGGAAGTCTTTCTATTTCTATTCTGTTTCTAGTTTGGACTCTGTATATTTTGCTTTGTCTTAGCTTCCTAAGTCCCTGTGAAAATCAGATGAGATGATGGACTTTCCTATTGTCTTTTTTTTTTTTTTTGTCTTTCACAAAGTAAATTTCCATTATGTGACTAATTAAAACTGACGGTGACAATTGGCCTTCTACATTTGGCTTGGTTCCGTTTAATCAATTCAGTGCCTACTGCTTGCAAGATAGAGGTACAGATATTGTTTAGGGGCATGAGAAAAGTTAGGTACAGCCCTTATTCTAAAATAGGTGGTAAAATTTGATACAAGGAGAGGAGAATAAGACAAGCATGAAAATAAGCGTATCTGATGAGCTACTCACAATAATCATCACTATGACACAGGCAACCACCAGAATAGGAGCCTCCTAGTAGAGCTCATAAGCAATGCCATGGCAAGATGGCATAGTTGGGACTAAGGTCTTCACTAGCCAAGAAGAGAATAAGAGGTAAGGACATAGTAGCTAGTGGAATTTTCCTACTGAAGTGCATACAGCAATCTGGGACTGTTTAACTCCAATTGGTAATGGTTGGTAATGATTTTCCAATAATCTCAGAACCCTGAGAGCCTTATCTCAAGCATCACATACATTTTTTTTTATATCATGAAATTACCCAACCCTGTGTTACATTTTTTTATACTTCATGTGTGAAGGACAGGCTAGCGCCTTCATTTTCGTCTTCTCCTTCTAAGCCTAGGGACATGGGATTTTGTCATCATTGCAAGATTTGTTTTTGTAATAAAATTATCAAGAATCCTTTCTTGGACTATTCTGAATGAATTTTATATGGCAATTATATATTCACTTACACATCTACTGTGCTGTAGGATAAACCTCATTCTGTATTAATTCTTCAATCACCTCATCTCTCTTCCACAGAGAGAAGAAATAAAGGACCAAAAGAGTCTACCTTGACCAACTTCTCATAAATAGTAGAAGGCAGACACAAAATGTCAAGCAATGAAAGGATTTGGGAATTTGTTTTACTTTGTAAGTCATGGGGCTTGAACTCTGGGCCTGGGCACTGTCCCTGAGCTCTTTGCTCAAGCTTAGTGTTCTACCACTTTGAGCTACAGCACCACTTCCAGTTTTCTGGTGGTTAATTGGAGATAAGAGTCTCACGGTCTTTTCTGCCCAGGTTGGCTGAACTACGATTCTCAGATCTCAGCCTCCTGAATAGTTAGGATTACAGGTGTGAGCCACAGGCGCCTGGCTGGATTTGGAATTTAATTAGTGTATTTTCCCATTTTTCACTTGCTTCTCTTTAAACCTAAGTTTTAAAGAAAAGAAAAACAGCTGTTCTTTGCCAAAGGAAGATTATTTAGCAATGATTGGTAAATAGTAATGTCCTCAGAAGCTCTTCCTGGGGGATGCTGGGCCTCAAGAAGAGCGATCTGCCACACCTGACCATCTCCCCTACCCCAGGTTCACCTGTTCTCTGAGATCCTTGGGGGTTTTCTGATGGACAAAATTGAATTTATTTCAAGCTCATCTATATGCCTTACTTTTTTTTCTGCAGCATTTAAACAAGAGGGTTCCTTTCTCTCACTCGGCAATCAAACCTTCTTTGGACTTGTGTGAGCATGCATTGCAGGCTCTTCTTCTTTCTACTTTTACCATTGCTCAGTTTCTGTCTTACACTTGTCTCCTAAATGTGGCACATCCTTCCTGTTTTGAGTTTCACTAGTTTGTCCTTCTTTACTGCTTATCTCTGGGCAAACAAATTCTACCCAGTTCCAGTGAGTACTGGCTTGTTCGTGGGATCCAGAGACCATCCTGACTTACCAGAATGAAAGTCCTCCCCGGGGTGGGGCTGTGTGGAAAGTTCTTAACCGAGCAGGGCAGCAGAGGTGAGATGAAAAACAGCTGGATTTGGGTGGGACGTTCCTGTCTAACCCCTCAGCAAGGATCACCGTGAAGGCTCATGGGAACTAGAATCCAGTTCCTTCCCTTTTCTCATTGGCCTTGCATAGACTGAAACGATTTGGAGATAGTAGGCTTCCCTTAAGCACTCTTGTAGTCCAAAATATTAAAAAAAATTAGTGGAAGAGAGAGGAAAATGTGAGAGACCATCGAGGAGTTAATTTTATTCAGGGTGGTGAGAGGGAAAATATTCATTAATGAGAGCCTTCTCCAAGAATAGGAGAGATCCTCAAGTTTATTATAGAGAAAGGTGAATACCAAATGAGCCTAATTTATGATATTATATATATATATAAATTAGCCATATATATGTATGTGCATGTGCATGCGCGTGAGCACGCGTGAGCACGCGTGCGCGCGCGTGCACACACACACACACACACACACACACACACACACACACACACACGGGTGGTGTGGTCTTTGAGGTTTGACTTTCCTTGATCCACAGTGGAGATGGGAGAGGAAGACTTGCCTGTAACTGCTTTGCAGGGACATGTGCCTTTGGTAAGCTTCAGCCCTGTCTTGGGGACCCTGTGTGTGTGGCTATTTCTGATCTCTGCAGTTAAAGTCATCTTTTCACATAGCTAGCATCCTGTCTTGTTCCCTACTAGTTGCCAGTGCATTCTCTGTAAAGTGTGAAAAACCTAAGATTCTCATCTGCATAGAAGTGGTATCTATGAGGTTCTGCTTGGACTGTGTTTTGACTTTTGAAAGACAGAAAGGCCCATTTTAATAGTCATCATGTGAAGCTGAGCTTTTGACAGGTGATAGCACCCCTGGGCAGTGACATGGACATACCTGTTGCATAGGGAAGACATTTGCACATCCAGGTCTGCTTTGAGAAGACCCAGAGAAGAGGTGGTCCTCTCTGCATCCTTTCCTAAGTCAGAGCTCCTCAATCTCTTGCCGTTTGGGGCCATTTCATTGGGGCAGGCAGCAGGGCTGCTCTGTCACTTCCAGGCATGCTTAGCAGGATCACCAGCCTCTGCTCCACGTGTTAGTAGCATCCTCTCCACCCGTACCCCCGGGGTGACAACCAGAAAATCCTGCAGATAATTGTTAAGTGTCCTCTTTGGGAGCATACATACCTCCCATCGATTCCAGGTTTGATGTTTCCAGATTTTACATTGTAGACTCAGAAAATGCCAAGATCTGGGTAAAAATGAAGAGTACACGTTATTCTTTGAGGTGAACTAATACAACAGTGAAGTAGGCGGGTAGCAGCAGGAAGCATGCTGGGAGGCTGGGACAGGAATGGAAAAAGACAGTGCAGCTAAAGGTCAAGTATTAACTGGCCAAACGAAGGGTCAGGGAAAGACTAGAACCTCATTAGGGAAGACTTTGGAATTTACAAATGAAGAAAATTCAAGGACAAATGTGTTCAGACTAAAAGACCTCTCAAAGGTCATGTGTTCCTGTAGCTGAATTCTTCCTCTATTATTGGTGTATTTAATGATCACCTGTTGAGATAAACGTTTTGCTATTTCCTTCAAAGATATATTGAGGCTGTCTAACAAAAAGATATTTTATGTTTTAGGGGAGAGATGCATCTTCTTCCTAAAATTCCCAAACTAAGAGAATGCAATTTCTTAAAAGCCTTCAATGGCGCCATCTGGTGTTAGGAACCTCCAACAGCAGGCAAAACAATGCTGAGAAAATCCTTCAGGGAGCACACTGGACAAACAGAACACACTAAACCATGTTTGTTTTATTTGTTTTCATTTTGTCTGGACACTCAGTTCAGACTTTCTTAGTGAACACTTTTCACTTAGGATATTCACATGTAAATTCCAGACTCCAGTTTCTTTCTTACTACCGATGATTTCTGATTATTGCCAAATTTATCATTAGCAGCTGTAATAAAGCCGATCCTACAGTCTTCAGAAGAAAGCATTCTCTCCTTTTAAAAATATTATTTATTTTTTAATTTATGTATTTTTTGTCAGTCGTGGGGCTTGAACTCTGGGCCTGGGCGCTATCCCTCAGCTCTTCAGCTCAAAGCAAGTGCTCTACTACTTGAGCCACAGTGCCACTTCCAAAATGTTTCAAGGTGGTTTTTTTTTTTTTTTGTCAGTTGTGGGGCTTGAACCCTGGGTCTGGGTGCTGTTCCTCAGCTCTTCAGCTCAAGGCGAGCACTCAACCACTTGAGACACAGAGCCACTTCCAAATATTTTTATCTTTAAGTAGTTGTACAAAGGATTTGCCATTTAACAAAGTAGCATATGAATACAATGAATCAATTGAATGGATCAAGAAAATGTGATATGCAAAGATATGCACATGTACGCACACATGTACATACACACAATGGATTTTTTTTCTCATCCATTAGAAAGAATGGTATTGCTTCATTTGCAAAGAAAATGGAAGGACGGGAACAAATTCATGTTAAATGAAGTCAGTCTCAGAGAAACAAAAGATGTATCTTTTCTCTCATATGTGGAAGCTAGGATTAGTCTATAAATGTGTAAGAATGAAGAGAGGAGAGGGGGTTCAGAGGGGGGTGAAATGCAGTCATACGCTGGTGGCTCACACCTGTCATCCTAGCTACTCAGGTGGCTGAGGTCTGAGGATCGTGATTCAAAGCCAGCCCAGGCAGGAACGTCCGTGAGACTCTTATCTCCAATAAACCACCAGAAAAAAGGAAGTGGCGCTGTGGCTCAAGTGGTAGAGCGCTAGCCTTGAACTGAAGAGCTGAGGGGACAGTGTCTAGGCCTAAAGTTCAAGCCCATGACTGACCAAAAAGAAAAATAAATAAAAATCCAATGCACAGTCTATAAAATAAGAAACCTGAGGGAAAGTGGGGTTGGGAGGGTTGAGGGAGGATGATGAAGAAGCACTGTATTCATAAACTGCTCTGGTGAATGGCAACCCTTTGTACAACCACCTAAAGAAAATAAAAATATATTTAAATGGATGCACTGTACACATAAAGAAACCTACAAAATTGTAACCCTCCTGTGCTACCATTTATATATACAAATAACTAATAAATAAAGCACAACAAGGTGCTACTGATGGTAGCTTAACATGAATCTCTTCTGGGTAGCATTCTCAGGTTGCCAGTGTCTTATTATTACTTCCAGGGACTTGATCTTTTATTTGTCGTTGTATCTCTAGCACAGCCCTTGGAATACAGTAAGGCTTAGTAAATATCCATAGAACAAATAACTGAATCCAGTGCTCAGGGGACAACGCAGCACAGCATGTAAGTGCATTGACTTTGGGAGACAGTGTTCATAGAATAGATCTAGATAGTCCAGTCTTTCAACAGGTCTGCAGCATTTGTAATGAGGTTTGTTACTGGAGTTGTCCATGATTTCCAGTGCATCTCCTCTCTGAGGAATAGCATCTCTGCTAGCTTCATGTACAGGAGGGACTTATCTTCAGTCTGCAAACCCAAATTTGGAGGCATGCAAACAACATTTGCTCATAAACATAGCCAAGCTCTCTAGCAGTAACCAGAGAGTTACAGTTTCCTTAGACTCTGCTCCCTCCTGGGTTTGTATATGTTGTGAAATGAAGATGGAGGAATGTGCCTGATATACATTCTCCTGTATTTCACAGTGTGATTGAGTGCCATGGCATTTATAGTTTAAGATGTTTATAGACTCTCACTGCATTTGCCAGCGTGGAAAGAAAAGAGTCATATTCCTATGTGTGTGTGTGTGTGTGTCTGTGTGTCTGTGTGTGTCTGTGTCTCTGTGTGTGTGTGTGTGCTAGTACTTTACTTGAGCTCATGGCCTCATGTTCTCACTCAGCTTTTTCACTGATGGCTGGTATTCTACCACTTGAGCCACACCCCCAGTTCCAGTCTTTTGCTGGCTAATTGGAGATTAGAGTCTTGCAGATCAAGTTCCAGCCTCCTGATACTAGGATTATAGGTGTGAGCCGTCGGCATCCAGTTTCCTTGTATTTAAGTATTTACTTTTGAATAAATATAAAGACATAGTAATGGATTGGAATAAGTGTGGCTTTTTTTCCTCATTCTTCACGTGTGCAGTAACTGAGTGCTTATTCAGAATAAAGAATTGCATTAGGAACCTGGAAAGGCCTAAAAGTGAAGAAGGCAGAATTTCTTTCCTCCAAGAATTACTAAATTCGAAGTGAGTTAGAGGAAATAAGGTGCATTCCCTTAATGCGTAAGTAAAAAATGGGCCTGGTGTGGATGTTCTGAGCCTGCCTACCTTCTGTGACTGCAATTCTACTCTAAATATGCTTATTTGTGTAATGAAGTGAGAAGCTAAGTCAGTACATCCTCATTGTTCACTCTGTTGTGTGTTAATTCATTGTTGGGAATAAATGAATGGTAATATGTGTTTGTCTAAATGTACTAGCTGCTGTCATGCTCTTATTAACTCCCTGTGTGCAGGGGGAGGGAAGTGGAAGAGAGAATGCGTTTGTTCTTTAAAGGGAAGGTTTTGGCTAGAATTCCAGTTACTAAACATGTTCTGCTGGAAACATCTACAAGTCAGGATGTGAGGGAGGGAAAGGGGAACAGCCGGGAAGAGAAAGGGAGGGAAGGGGAGAATGGATTCTGAAAGAAAAATGATAAAGCCCTACGTGAGGGAGAAATGCTTTGTAAATGAGGAACCCTCTAACGTTCTGTTCTTGGCAATGCCCAAGTAATCCTAAGTGTGAGCTGCCAGTCAGTCCTGTGAACGTGAGGGTCACTGGTGTTAGTCTGTTTACAGAGAAGGAAACGGAAATTTAGGAATCTCCACTGACTTGTCTAAAGGGAAAAATGGTAAGGACAGAAGCCAAAGTTTGAACATAGAATTTTGTGGCTCCAGCTTTGAAGACGCTTCCTGTTCCTATCATCCTCTCCCTTTCCACCCATCTGTTCTTTGAGCATGTGCAGAGCAAGCACAGGCTTGCTCTGTTTAATACACACAGGGACATACAAGGGTTAATGAAAATTGTCCCTGTAAGGAACCTAGAAGATGCTTCTAAACCAACTCACCTGCCTATTCTGCTGCTGGTCAAATGCCTCACTTTCCATTCCACGAAGTGGACCAGTCTTCCAAACTCTTGGTTTAAACCTAGAGATGTTTTGTTTCTCCTCTCCCTTCCCCTCCTTTCCCTCATTGTGAGGAAGGGCGGCCTCCATGGAGCTCATGGTGACCTCAAACTCTTGAGCCTGTCATCTTCCTGTCACTGCCTTCCAAGTAGAGATTGCTACAGAATACTGAGTTTCCATCAAACACATTTAATAGTTCCATCTTTACAAATATCATTTGTATATTGTTATATTACTTATATGTGCATGCATTTACAGATTTCATTCCATCGGCTGAGGAACTGGACCTGTAGCCTGTGCCTGCCAAACTTCCAGTTGCTTCTGTGCCTAGGCTGAGCAGCTTTCCAGTCTCAGAGAACACATTTCCCCAGGCAGGGGGGATGTGTCTATGTTCAACGCAGACTGACATTCCCAGCCCCCCCACCCTTGCTCCTTTGCATATGGTTCTTCTAGCTGGAACACTTTTCTCCTCCAAGACTCTGGTTTTCCTTCAAGTTTTAGGGCTGCCTTTGCCTTGAGAAGAAATGATTTGGTTCTTTTCCGTGTTTCTATAACATATCCATTTCTATTACATTTATCACTTTGCATTGTTATATGCTCTACTTAAAGACTGGAGCTTATGTGAGTTCAGGGCCATGTTCTTTCCATCACTGTGCTCAGTAGATGCTTAATATATCTTTATAGGCAAAATAACTGACAAACTGAGTTATAACTTTACCCTGAATATCTTCTAACCTGCTCTAGTTTATAATCTCACAGAGCCCAACTCGCACTATAACTCAGTAAAATATTTGACTCACTTCTTTGACTGAAAACTCCAAGGCCACGTCAGCGTTTGTGCAGTCCAGGGAGGGTACAGACTTCTGGCCGAAGCAGAGGCACTCACTCAGACCTTAGGCTGAGTTTCCTCTAAGTAGAAACCTGGCTGTTCTGAAGAAAACTCTCTCACAGGAGAGCAGGGGGAGGGGAGGGGAACCAAACAAGGATGTGTTCTCAGCAGGAAGCCAGCTGATATCTGATCCCACCCAGGTTCTGCAATTGCTACACAAAGTTGGTTCCACTTTAGGGCAAAGAGAATGATTTGTCATTACTGGTAGCAGATTCCTTTGGGAGGTGATCTGTGTGTGTGTGTGTGTGTGTGTGTGTGTGTGTGTGTGTGAGAGAGAGAGAGAGAGAGAGAGAAAGACAGACAGACAGACAGACAGACAGAGAGACAGGGAGACAGAGAGAGACAGAGAGAGAGAGACAGAAAGAGAGAGAGACACAGAGAGAGAGAGAGAGAGACAGACAGACAGAGAGACAGGGAGACAGAGAGAGACAGACAGAGAGAGACAGAAAGAGAGAGAGAGAGACAGAGAGAGAGACAGAGAGAGAGAGAGAGAGAGAGAGAGAGAGAGAGAGAGAGAGAGAGAGAGAGAGAGAGAGAGGAGAATGAACTTCTTCTGTCCAGGTGGCTCTTGTTTGGTCAAGTGCAACTCTTCTGGAAAAGAGGAACTCAGGATTGCTAGTAGATTGGGGCCAGATACCTGGGCCTGGCACAGGAGGTAAAGTATTGTGCTTGGTAAAAGTCAATGCTGATGCTGTTTCTCTGGAAGTATCTGGATTGAGACTCAAGAAAAAGGAAACTAAAAAGGAAAATCTGAGTGGTGGTATTTAAAGAAGGGCAGCAGATGCTGGGTGATAGAAACTCAATCTATATGCCATGTCCTGGGGACAGCAACCCTCTCTTAGAGAAGGTGTGGACCATACCCTTCTGCCCTCTGGTACCTACATTGTCCTGAGACAATGTGTGTATGGATACTTTTAACCTGCCCTATGCTATATAATAAAGGGTTTGGGATCTATAGCTTGATTCCCATACTCCTCTGTGTTTGTCTTTTTATTTTGGTAATTGTTTGAATGGCTGAATCTCTAATTTGATTAGACCACAACAGAAAAGAAAATGTAGGTGCTAAAACTAGTCAGCTGGGATGGGAAGCACAGACAGGAGTATAGTCTCTGATAGAGAGATCATCCTTTTGCCAGCCTTCTTGCTACTGGAGAAGTAAAGAAGAAAGCTTTACTGCTTAATGTCCCAACCAGACAGTCTAAGACCTTAGTTTTTTTTAACTATGTTATGTTGTGTTTATGTTATGTTTATGTTATGTTTGACTATGTTATGTTATGTTATTTTATGTACTACATGTTTAACAGAACATATATGTTAGTAAGCTAACATATATGGTAGATGGAATATTCTTGCAATGTTCGCATCTCTTTTTTTTTCTTCCCCAGGCTGCTGCCTCCTCTAATAACTGCAATAGATTTAAATGACTATGCATTTTAGTGGTGGTTCTATTGAAAATTCAATTTAACATATGTTGGTCATAATTAATGTTGTAACTATGAAAAAAAATCCTTAATTTGGGTTTGGTTTGAGTTTGATTAGTAAGAATATTTTTTTTGGTTGGGGAGTTTGAGGTACAATTGCCTCCTAATAAAAATTACTAACTTTTATTAACCAGCAGTGAAGAGCTTGCAAATGCATTGAAACAGTGCAGCTTAGAGTCTGGCATGAGAGCTTCACACTTGTAATCCTACATACAATGGAGGCGGATGTTGGAGAGGATTGAAATTTGAGGCCAGCCTGGGCAAAAAGTTGGCATGATCCTGTCTCAGCCACTAAAAGCTGGGTGTAGGGCATCACACCTGTTATCCCAGCTATGAGGGAAGCATAGACAGATTGGAAAAAAGAACAAAAGTAAAAAGAGCTGGGGTCCTAATTCAAGTGGTAGAACACCTGCCTAGCAAGTGCTGGGCCCTGAGTTCAAATCCCAGTATTGTTCCCTCCCCACCCCCCCACACCAAAATGAAAGTCCAACTTAAAATAAGTACAAGTCTGACATGAAATAAACACTGCCTCAGTTCCTTGTTTACAAGCAAGAATACACGTTGCATCTACAATATGAGCTCCTGATCTTTTCATGGCATGGTCCACCCCTCCCCCCACCCAAGTCCCGGAAGTTCAGTCTGTTTTGGCAGGAATTTAAAGCTGCTTTCCAGTCTGTAGGTGAAGTTGTTGAGAGGCTCCTGTAGTTGGGCCCAATTGGTAGCTTAAGAGTGGATGTCAATGGCAGGCTCTTTGCAACCACCGCTCATTACAGATACTCGTGCACAGGACAGTGCATCTCTATTGTGTTATTATGTCTAGCTTGAGGACTGACATCATACTGCATTTGTGAAGGTCTGTGACTTTGTTAGTGCATTGCTTGCATACATTTTTAATTTAAAACCTTTTATTCAATGAACTCACATTTCAGCAAGTTGACTTATAACTCTAGCCTCATGTAATCATATTGGTGCATCAGAAGACTGGGTTATCATCTGGAGTGTGTGTGTGTTTTTTCTCTAGATCTATGACATACATTTTAAAGTTAAAGTCTCTAAAGTCATGATGGCTTTTGCATTAGATACCATTTCCCATCCTGGCACATTCTGGTGACTAGGTGGCAGTAGGATCATAGTTGTCATTGCCTGACACCTTCTGGTGAGAAGGAGAAGACACCAGACAAAATCCTGAGACTTGATGTCAAAAAAAAAAGGGTGATAATCCTGAGATGGGGAGTGAAGAAGCGGGCTCCGTGGTATGGATGTTGAACTCTCATGGGAAACCATGAGCCTCCTTAACCTTGAATTGAAAAGTGAGTCAGAAGGCACAGTGCACATGCTTGTTATCCAGACTCAGGAGAGCACAGGCCAGAGGATCTTGAGTTGGAGGCCAGATTGGGCTACATGGTGATGTTCTGTGTAAGATAAAATTAAACAAAGCAAGACCAAACAAAACAAAGCAAGCAAGCAAACAAACATACAAACTAATGTGGTTCAGCAGATACAATGCTTGGTTCCAAAGAAATTTGAGGTATATTTTCTCAATTAAATTTGCATCTGTACATCTTTATATGTATACTTGTGTAATTGACTTTAAAAATCCTACGTCGAAAGAAGGCTAGAAGAGTTCTTTCTGTAAGAATAAAATAGGAATGCTAAGTTACAATAAAGCATTTTGGGTCAATACTGGTGTGTGCTAACAATTGAAAATGTACTAAATTTGATGCAGTGTTACATTCTTTCCTAATGCAAATAGGAATCAAAGCAATAAATCCATCCATGTTTAATAAAAAGGCTTCCGAAATTCTCTAGGTAGTCTATGAGGAGTTTGGGGTATGTCATTAATTTAGTGATTAAGTCTTTTGTGAACTGGGATCTAATGATGTGCACTTAATAGTTATATAAGTTTGGAAAGATACTTAAGTCCTAGCAACTTCATTTCCATTAACTTAATTTATTTATTTATGCTGGTCTTGGGACTTGAACTCAAGGCCGGGGTGCTGTCCCTGAGCTTCTTTTTTATAAAGGCTAGTGCTCTACCACTTGAGCCATAACTCTACTTCTGGCTTTTTTGGTACTACCTGGGCTTGCTTTAACCTATGATCCTCTTGAGTAGCTAGGATTACAGATGTGAGCCACTGATGTCTGGCTTACTTATTTTTTAAATAATTCTCTTATTATTAGCATCTACTGATGTACAAAGGAATTTCTTTGAGATATTTTCATACACTTCATGTGATGTCTGCCAAATTCACTTTCTCTATAATTCCCCCTTATCATTCCTCTCTTCTTTAAACAACGTCCACAGTTTCCATTACCCAATTCACTTTCCTCTTCCCACTGAAACCCACCTCCTTATATAATCTGGTATATGTTTCTAGTATTTATTCCCTTTAATGTATATTAGTGGTAGAAAGTGGTTTCACCATGGTATCTCTCACTTGTCTATATTACACTTTAGTGAGATTAGCCCCTCTATTATTCTTTCCAACTTTCTCTATTCATTATTCCTCTATTATCTTCATATACAGAAACAAAAATGTATCTTGATGCAGACATAAATGACGTTTCCTCTATTAGGAATAATAAACTTACCTCAAAGCACTTCTGTATTAAAGACAGAAATTGACTACGTGCATCTAGTCAATTTCAACAACTCCTGGCAAATTTATTATTAAATATTGTCCTGCTTTGAACTGTTAACCAATCTGTTTGACTGAAATTCAGTATTCTGTAGCAAGCTCAGGATTGTTTGCTTTTGGTTTTCGTGTCCTCAGAATATTATTTTCCTCTCAGTGTGTCTTTATTTCAACACTACACTTTAAGAAATATGTCTTCTTCTCTATGTAATTAAATGTGAATCTCTTGCTTTCCCACTGTCTGGCATTTTAGAAGATTGTCTTCATTTTAGGTAGCTCTTGGCTTGGTTCTACTTTTGACAGATACCATATTCACATTGTTTTGAAAGCAATTCTCTATTTTCACCAGTTACATAAGGACTGCATACCCATGTAGGGATAAGTTACTTCAAGCTCTACTACCGAGAGAATGCCAACTGATCTTTAGATTTTTTTGTTTTATTTCAAATTTTTTATAAATTTTAGTATGTATTCATCTATTTTTCATTATTGATACTTTTCATTTTCCTCCTAATTGCATCCATATTTTGGAGGGATATGAATACCTCCTCCCCTCTTGTACAACTGTATGTACTAGCACTATGGTTGGTGCTATGGTCTAAATAATGTGTGCTTCTTCTCAGAATTCAAATAGTAAAAACTCATCTTCAATGTGATAAGAAAATGAGGTAATTAGATCATAAATGTGATGAGTGACCTTAAAAAGAGACAGCAGAGTGCTGGCTAGCCTCTTCCACTCCTTTGGGCTCCAACTGAGCTGGTGTCTTGTAGTCTTCAAAGGCTCTAGAACAATAAGGAGTAAATGGCTTTTGTTTATGAGGTATCCAGTTTATGATGGTTTTGTCATAGTAACCAGAACAGAGTAAGATGGTTGGAAGGGCTGATCTGGCTTGCTTTCTGGAAGGGGGTCTTAATGACCTAAGCCTTGT